CAGGCCGCTCCCAGATGAGCTCGGCGAGGGGTGGGATGTCGTGCTTTGCAACGAGGTAGAGGCGGAAGCACGACTCCGGAGGCGGAGGCGCGTGGGCGGATGGGTCTGGGTACGTGACGAGCTCGAGGTTGGGCGCCTCCTCCGACTCGCGCACGATGCGAGCGATCGACCCCTCCTCGCGCAGGTCCAGCCAGCCGCGCTCCCCGCCGCCGCTCTGCAGCAGCAGGCTGCGCGCGCGCTCGTCAAGCCGGAGGACGTGCGAGCGCTCCAAGGGCAGCAGGCGGTCGTACTCGGCCTCCCCTCGCCACCGGCCACACACCTCCACCACCGCCTGCCCCGCCTTGATCGGCGCGAGCGAGCGGACGCCCCAGCCGGGCGCGCCCCAAGTCGAGGAGCCGGAGACGGGGGACGAGACGGGGAAGGCCTGGAGCCGGCCGAGCGGGAGGGTGGCGGGCGCTGCGCCGTCCGCCTCCGCTGCCCCGGGCGCGAGGGCGGGGACGCGCTTCCCGTCCACCAGGGAGAAGGAGCCGGCGGGAGGCACGTCTCGGTACCCGGCCGCCTCCGCAGCCTTAGCGCACGAGAGGCCACCGCTGAGCGGCACGCGCCCTGCCGTCCGCTCGACGGCCGCACCGACGAGAGCTCCTCGCACGGCGGGCGCACCGGCCGCCTCGCCGTCGGGCCCGGGAGGCAGCACGCGCGCGTCCGGCAAGCTGCGGGCCATGAGGGTGGCGTGCTGCTGGCCGAAGCGCTGCCCCGCGCGCTGCAGCAGCCCGCGGACCGCCGCGGCGACCTGCTGCGCGCACTGCGGGATGGTGGTGCAGCCCTGGCCGAGCCAGAAGCGGCGCGCCTCGTCGGTGGACGAGACGAGGAGGGCGACGGCGCCCTGCGAGCCGGGCGGGACGATGCCCTGCGCGGGAGAGGCGAGCCGACTCGAGGCGAGCTCGACGATCAGTGCCGTGAGCAGCGAGCCGTGCCCCTGCGCGCGCGACGAGCGGGCAGAGGCGAGGATTGGGACCTCGAGCACACCGCCCGTGCTCGCTCCGCCGAGGTGGAGCTCGATCACCGCCGCGGCCACCGCCTTGACGCCGTGCCGCCCCGTCGAGAAGAGGACAATCCGCCGGCAGCCCGAGAACTGCGACGTGAGCCGGATCATCGTCTGGTCCGACTCGACCTCGCCCAGGATCCGGTCCGCCTCGGCACCGCCGGCGTCGGCGCCGCCGAGGCTGTAGACAAAGTCGGGCGCGCCCTCAACCTCCGCGTGGTTGACGAAGAGCGCGTCGAGCAGCGACTCCTTGCCCGTGCGCCGCTTGGCGCCGCGCCCTTCCACCTCCACCGGCGACGCACTGCGCGCCCGCTTTGCGGCGCGCCGCTCGGCGGCGGCGACCTCCGACGGCTCCGGGTCGCGAAACACGTCGTCCTCGGTGGGCTCGCGGTAGGTCACCGTCGCCGACGCACGGCGCGACGGGCGCGACATCGCTGTGCAGAGGCCAGTATCAACCGGGACGGTGGGGGGGGGGCGGGGGCGGGGGGGTGGGTACAATAAATAAATAAACAAAGAACTGGCCAAATACCAAATTCCAAATCGCAAACATAGAAACCCAAATAGACGATGACGATTCAGCGCGTGAACGCCAACTCGCCGGCACAGGCCGTGAAGAGCCGCGCACGCGGGCCGACGATTACGCAGCTGCGTGCCAAGCAGGCCGCTCTTGTGGCCGCATCCGAGCTCGCGGCTTCGAGTGATGCCAAGGCGAGTGTGGTAAGGCACTCGCCCGTTGACGAAGCCAAGCGGTGGGCAAGCGGCAAAGGCCGCAAAGTGGGCTTCGCAAAAGCACGTGCCACCTTCCGTGGCGGCGGCACGGGAATCGCGGCGACGGCGGCGAAGCACGACTCGCTCATCAAGAAGGCCCGCTGGCGCGGTACCGAGCAAATTGCCCGGGAGACTCCGGCGGGCTCTGTGTCCGTAGTGACGATGCCGCACCGCAAGGACTTCGCCTCCGACAAGGAGCACCAAGTGAAGTTTAACCTGTGGCTGAAGGCGGACGGCTTCAAAGGCAAGGTGCGCAACGGGGCGGTGAGGGAGCCAGAGCCCCTCTCTCGGTCGGGCTCACGCGTGTGTGGATCCATGTAGGAGCGGCAGCAGCGGGTGGCCGCGCAGTACGAGAAGCGCGTGCTGACCATGGACGCGTGGGGCCAAAAGCAGGGCTACCCGCCGTTCTGCGAGGTGGTGACGCAGGAGGACGGCTTGGCCAATCTGCAGCTCATTGTTGACAAGGTGCGCGGCAAGGAGGTGCCGCGAGTGCCGGCGGTGTCCGCTTTCATCGAGTTCTGCGTGGGCATGATGACCGGCGAGGTGGAGAAGGGCGGCTGCCGAGAGCTCCGAGCTGATCCTCAGCTGTACGCCACGGCGGCATACGGGCTCTCGCAGGCGGAGATGATGATGCCGCTCGAGAAGAAGGGCACGTTCGGGTGGGGGCCGTACAAGGACGCGCCGTACAAGCTGCAGAGCATCCAGCAGTACGCGACGGCGCTGCGCGTTTGGCTGAAGGAGGAGCTGCGCCGGTGGCCAGACGCAGGTGTGGCCAACCCGATGTACGACGGGTGGGTTGCCTCTGTGATGAACTACGTGCAGAAAGAGCTGCCTTTTGCGCGCATGGAGGAGCGGCTGCCGCCTGCGCTGACAACTGGCGTCTTCAACGAGGTGATCAACCACATCGACCCGACGTCACAGGACGAGATGTCGACGGCACTGTGGCTCCAGGCGGGCTCGATCCATGGCGATCGGGCGCACGACTGGTATCTCAGCGATCGGAAAAACCTGCGCAGGCTGGCTCCGACCGTCGAGGACCCGGACCAGAAGCACGGCGTCATGATCTCGCACGAGTCGACGAAAAACAACAAGCTGCGCGAGGAGCGGCACAAGGGGCTCGCGTGTCCGTCATGGTGCGAGCAGGAGGTGGCGTTCACGGCGGCTGGCCAGCTCGATGTGACAAAGATGTGCGCGGCGTGCATGACCAAGCACATGCAGGACATGGTGGACCACTCGCTGTCAGGAGCGACCGAGGAGACGCTCGAGAGCCTGCCCACGTTCGTGGAGATCAAGGAGATTGTGGATCTGCCAGCGGGCAGCAACTTGGTGCGCTGCGAGGATGCAGACCGGCTCGGCATGCCGGGCGACCTCGTGTGCCTGCTGACGCCGGAGGAGCTGGCGGACGGCTACGGCTACAACGGCACCGTGCCGTTTCTTGTGGACGGCGAGGAGGTACGCCCGAAGCGGCGGGGCACGTACTTCGAGGTTCCGAAGTCGGGGAAGGCGATCCGCGCGTGGGCGGACGCGGCAGGCGCGACACAGCGGCTGCGGAAGCAGCTGCGATTGACGAACAAGCGGGCGGGCCGCGAGGTTATGGCGCCGGAGAAGATCAAGAAGGTGACGTCGAAGGTGATGCGGCGGCGAATGGCGACGCTCATCACGCGCACGCTCGGCATCGACGCGGCGGTGGCGATGGGGGAGTGGTCGAGCCGAAAGATGGCTAAGCTGTACATTGACGAGATGGACATCTTTGGGTCTGGCGGCTGGACTGAGCAGGAGACTATTTTTGCGCTGAGCGGCAAGGTGGCGGCGGCGGCGGACGCCAGGAAGGCGGCGGTGGTGGCGGCGACGATCGCGGAGGTCGATGCGACCGACATGGAGGCGGAGACGGAGGCAGGGCCATCCACCATGGAGATTGAGAGCGTGCCGACAGTCCCAGTGCCCGTGCCAGTGGTGCCGGTGCCGGTGATGGCGATGCCGATGCAGATGCCGATCTCGGCGGCCGTGCCAGTGGCGATGCCGGTGGCGGCGCCGTCGGTTGTGGCGCCAGCACCAGCGGCAGCGGCGGGGTGTGTGACAGGGGCGCCACTTGTGCCTGCGCCGCAGGAGGAGGCATCTGTTGTGGCGAGGACTGTGGCGCACTTGTCGGACCTGCTGCGTCGATGCCACGCGGGGGAGCAGGCAACTGCGCAGTCCCGCCGCGAGTATGGGACGGCGCAGCTCTCGGTGGCGGTGGCGAACAACAGGGCCAATCAGAACACGGTGTGCTGCGGATACAAGGGCCCAAATGCGCTGGTCAAAAGGGAGATGACCAACCACCCGCACATTGCCGAGCTGATTGACAGCATGGCGGCGAAGAGCGTGGTGGAGATCCAGAAGGTGCTGTGCACATGCCATGGATTGCACACGTCGCTGCAGCAGATCAACACCTTTCGGCATGGGCGGTTCCAGGCGGCTGGGGGGCGCCAGGCCTTCATAGCTGCAAGAGCGTGATGTGTGTCCGAGTATAGAGTTTTTACAGAGCGATGTCAAATATGAAAAAATGACATGCTGGTGGCACAGGCGCCGCACGCCGCATCTTGAGCTGCACAACACGCGAAAAAGAGAGAGCGAGCAAGGGAGTGGAGTGCATGCATACGCTGCCCGCACGGAGTCGCACGCAGACGACTGTTCTTGAAGCCGACGTACTGGTGCATGGTCGAGATTAGCGCTGGGTGTCAGCACACGGCTCAGTCGCAAAAGAGCGGCGGCAGGGGGAGAGAGGTCAGCAGAGAGAGAGCACCTACCGCCGATCCCGTTGCACCAAACACAGCCGAGGAGAAGGGAAAACACACAACGGAGCGGATGCGTCGCCGAAAGGGGATGCGGGAAGAGTCTGCACTGAGCGACAGCTCCGAAGCACGGCACATGCCGCACAGAGGGACGGCGCATGAAGGGAAGGTACCTGCGTAGACGTGAAGACGTGAAGTGAGACCGTCTTCACATGCTCCCGGGGCCGGGGGTGAACATTGGGAGGACATAAGCCGAGCGAGGTCACGCCGGGCAGCCAATCGAAGCTATTAGCAGCAGCGGCGCGCTCAGCACGACGTAATAAATAATAAATAAATACAACGGACATCCCAAGCTAGGGCTGGGTCGAGGACAGACACGTCCCCACCTTTGCAGGATTTTGCAAAAGCGAGGGGGGAGGGCGCATCGCCGCGCGGAGAGGGCTGGGCACAGGGTTAGAATAAAAACGGTCAAACTCTGAGACGAGATGGGATTTAGGGACACGGGTTGGGTACAATGCGGTTGGGCAAAAAATTCTTTTCTTACTTCCAAGCTGCGTATTCTTGTATTATCGTCGAGCAGTACAGGTACTCCGTGGGGGAAGTGTGTATTCTCGTAACATGTGCGTATTCTCGTATCACTGACACACTCACACACACACACACACACACACTAACTACTGGCTCCGAGAGATTTTAGAAAACCAACAAGAATTTTACAAGAAAGCTCCCTCGCACAACACTGGGCACGGGACTGGCTCGCACGGCACTAACACAGGTACACCGACAAGAAATCACCCCTGGAGATACACCTCGCAGCAGGTGTCTTCCTTGCGCGCGTGCCGTGCCCACTGTCGCAGTCGAGTCACCACTCGTCCGCCCGCAGGCTATCGCATGGCCTCGCAGCGCGTATCGGTCAGCTCCTCCTCGTCAGCGGAGCCTCGAGACGACGCTCGCCGAACTGTTGGCGGCGGGCGTCCCGTCCCTCGCCCGGGTACCTCCGACAGTGCAATCGTCGGCGCGAGAGGCCAAGTATCCGCGACGTGCGGGCAGTACTGCGGGCCAGACGCAATCGAGGGGGATAGGGGACGATATTCGGGCTAAGGAGGCAATGCTGGCGGCGTTTGGGCCTGTGGCACGTCACGTCTTTGCAGGGGATGGCCGCAGCCCTTCGGTGCTGCTTCCCCCTCGCGCGAGCTGATGGTTGAGCACGCCGTGAAGGGGCTACGAGGATCGCTGTCGCTTGAGGATGCAAGTGGTGGCCTCCAGGTAGCGAGGCGTCTCTTCGATGTGCAAGCTTGCCGCGTCTGCCAGCGCGCTGCATGGCGTGAGGCGCTCAGACGTGCGGGCCCGCAACAAGAGGGGGCGCCGAGCGTGGCAACGATCGCCGCCGTTCTCGGGGAGGGCATAAACGCCGTGCTGTCCGACATGCCGGCGCTTCACCGCAGCCTCCGCCGACTGGCCGGTTGTGAGCTGCCCCTCCCCCTCCGAAGCATTGCTTGGCGCAGCGCCATCCTTGACCAGTCAGAGCTCCAGCGCGTTGCCGTCGCCCTACGAGCCGCGGGCGACAGTCAGGCGGCGCCCCCGCTCGGCCGACTGATTGAGCCAATTATTGGCGCGCGGATCGGGCGTGCCTGCCAGCGAGCCTCTCAAAGTGGAGGCGGCAGACGGAGTCCGGCGGCGCGCGGCGGCGCTGCTCGTGCGAAGCAGCCAGTGCTCTGGCGGCGTGTTGCCTTTGGCCGCCGGCTCGCTTGCGATGGCGCTCGTGTGTGGCCTCGCGCGAGCAGAGCCAGCTGGGGAAACTCCAGCCGAGGTGCCGGTCGAAGAGGTGGCAATGTTGCTTGAGCTGCAGCGGAGTTGCATTCCGCGCGCCAAGGATGCGGCGCGTGACCCGCGACACGGGCTCTTGGGACAGCTCCGGCGGTGGCCAAACACCTTGCGCCACCTACTCGACATCTGCGCTCGCACGGCGCGCGAGGTCGCTCCGCCGTGGAGCGTGCTCTACATGCTCATCGACGAGGAATGGCTTGAGCACGGACTCGTCGGTGGGATGAGCTGGCCCGTCGTCCTGTGGGTGTGGGACCAGTGCGCGCTGATGGGTTGGGAGGCTCTCGCCGGAATCGCGGCCGATTGTGTGTGGCTGCTGCGGAGGCAGATCCGACGGCTCGACAAGGCTGGAGGCGGCGCCGAGGACCTGAGGCACCTCCTTGCGACTGGCCTCAGGGACGTGACGCTGCCTTCACTCCAGGCGCTACACTCTGCGACACACCGTCCGTCCGACGTGCCAGGGCCAAGTGCTGATCAGCTACCTGCGGAGCGTGCGGCGAGGCTGCGAAGCGCCGCGATCGCCTCTGCGCCGCGGCCAAAGGTTGCATTTCGCATACCAGTTGCGGCGACGTGATGAGACGGCGTGAGTGTGCTTGCGTGTGGGAGGTAAGGTAAGGTAAGGTAAACTTCTCCACACACACGAGGTGGTGGGGCAAGGGGGGGCAACCCTCGCGTCTCCACGTCTGACGACAGGAGCCCCACGGCATTCAAAGTGCAAGGCCCAGTGCGCGTGGGTGAGCGGTGTGTGTGTGTGTGTGTGTGTGTGTGTGTGTGTGTGTGTGTGTGTGTGTGTGTGTGTGTGTGTGTGTGTGTGTGTGTGTGTGTGTGTGTGTCTCACGTCACTGCATCCTCCGCCGGTTCCTCCCGTCGCCTCTTCTTTGTTCGAATGTTTTTCAATCCATCCTTCACGAAGCCCTCCCATGTAGCTAGCGTTCTTGGCGAATGTCTCGAAATGGCCAGCAGGCGCTGTCTGCTCGCGGTCTGTGCGGGCCGCTCGTCCTCCTCGCCCTTCTTTCGTCCTCCCGTCCCTCCCCTCCACCATGGCCTTCTCGGCACTTCTTTCTCCATCCGCCTCGCCCTGCCTTTTCGCATCGTGCCGTTCGCCCTCCATTCGGTGACCTCCATGGCTGTCCGCCCCTTTTTGGGTGGCGCTCTCGATACGGTTGCGTCAACCTCGACGTCGCTGTCGCCCTCCCCGTCCCCGCCGGCGTCCGTGCCTCGGTTCGCGTCATCGGTAGCGTCTCCGTTGTTCCCTCGTGCCCCGCCGTCGCCCTCTCTGCTCGGGCCGTTAGCGATTTCGCTCCTCCTGTGTGTCGCCCCTCCGTCCCCTCCCCTTTCTTCGTCGTCATCGTCGCTGTCGCGAAAGCCCTCCGGTCCCTCGATTCCCTCGCCTATCCCCTCCGCTGCGTCGTCCCAGTTTATATCCTCATCCTCTGCGCACGTCGCGTTGGCTTCCTCTCTCCCCCTTTCCTCCCTGCCCCTCTCGCTGTCCGGTGTTAATGGACCCCCTTCCTCTCCCTCGCCACCGTCACCGTCTCCATCCCCGTCGCTACCGCCCTCCATGCCCGCCGCCCTTTGTTTCACACTCGTCTCTGCCATGTCCGCCGTCGCCGCCGTCCTGTCTGCTGCGCTCTGTGCTCCGTGGTACAGTCGCTTATTGTTGCTCAGGATTAGCTCACGCACCAGGACAGCCTCCTGCTCGTTATTTTGGCTTGCCGATATGCATCCAAAGTTCCACGCTAGCTCCTCCTTCGTCACGTCTATCTTTTTTGCAGTATCTCGCGAATGCCGTCCGCGCTTGCTGGGGTGTTATTGCGTTCGGATCCGCCCTGGTCCCCGCCCTGTATCCCATCTCCTTGCGGTGGCTCCTGTATGAGTCCCCATATGACCATGTGATTTCTTGGCCTTCCTTGACTCCCCTCTCTGCAAACAGGACCATCACCTGCGCAGCTGCCTTGCCTAATTGTATCTCCTCGTAGCGTACGAAGTGCGTCGCCCTCGTGCCTTGTTTCGGCTCATTCGATGCTGCAGGCCAGTCGAAGTTACAGCGCGCCGCGACGCTGTCAAAGTCGTCCCCGCTCTCGTCGTCACTTCCATCCAGCTGCGTCCCCCCTGCTGCCGTGTGTCGTGATAGTTCGTCTGGTACTGTCTCTGGTGGCTGCGCCGTTCCTGTCCGGAAGATCTCCCCAGTGTAGATGCTACACACCTCAAATTTCTCTAGCCTCCTCGTCGCCAGTAGGCCGAGTTCCCCTTCCGCTATGCTAGAGGGGCCTACCTTCGCCCCTTCCACCGTGCCGCCCGTCGTTAGCATGGCCGTCGTTACTTTCGCCGCCGCCTCTGCTGCTTGTCGGCGGAGCGCCTCGCGCCTTCCCTCGTCTCCATGCTCCTGGTCTTGTTCTTTTTGTTTTTCTGCGCTTCCTGTCGCTGGTCCGGCGACGTATCTTGCCGTCTGCCTTCGCTTCCTGGCGGGCCGCGTTTCCTTCCCCTCGTCCCGTTTGTTTTCTCCTGCGTGGTCGCCCTCGCGTGCGCCGCTCGCCGTCTGTTCTCCTCTCTGCTCGCCGTCCTCGTCCCCTCGCTGTCGTCGCTTCCCTCCGGCGCTCGCCGCATCGTCGTTCCTATCACCGCGTTTCCTGCGCTGGCCTTCGCCTTCGAGCTCGCAGTGGGTCGTTTTGAGTGTCATCCCCATCGCTCTCGTCGTTCTGCCTCTCCCCGCTTCGAGGCGTCTCTCTGCCTCTTCCCTTTCCTTCTCCTCGGCATCACGTTGTCGATGTCGCCTCCGTCGCCAGCAAATACACGCATTCGCCGCCCACTCCATTTCTCGTATCCTCTCCTTCCTTTCCTTCTGTCCCTCTCTCAGGCGTTCTGTTTCCGCGGCTACTCGTTCCTTCCTCTCCGCCTCGAGTCCCTTCCTCTTCCCTTCCCGTACTTTGATTATTGATGCCGCCGTCTGCTGCAGTGCCCTGAGTGAAGTCACCACCCGTGTGTCATACTCCCTCATGATGTCTTCTGGCGGGTCCTGGTCCATCACACTCGGCTCGGGTAGTCGTCCAGCTAGCAGTTGCTCCATCGCCTCCCATTCCTCGTCGCTCTCCCTTCTCCCCGCGCATCTCTTCGTCGCCCCAGCAATGGCGCGTACAGCGAGCGCCTGGGCTTCGCACTCTGCGGTGTGGGCGAGTGTCCGCCTCCTTGACTTCGGCGGCGTCCATCGCAGCGCCTTGAGCACGTCCGCCGCGCCTTTCCTCATCGCCCGGTGGTGCTCCCTCCTCTCCCCCTTCACCGCCTCGCACTCGGCGCATAGGACGTGCCTAGTGTTAGCTATTGTCCTGCAACATCCAGGATGCCAGCAACCTTCAGCCCCATCGGCACATGCTCCTCCTCCCTCCTCGTCCCACCCGTCCTGCCACGCCTCTGCCTCTAGGCTGGCCCTCCATCGCCTCCCGTGCTCTATACCTCGGGTCTGTCCCGTCCGCATGCCGTGTACCAGCCTTAGCCTCGCCTTCTCCCCGCAGGCCTCGGGCTGGCGCTGGGTCGATTTTGGACCCCGTTCTCTGTCTCCCTCGTATCTCGTGTCGCCTGATATCGTCCCCGTCGCCTTGATTACCGTCCTCCACACGTTGTCGTCTCCTCCCTTTCGCGCTGCGTGCCCGCCGTCCAGCCGCTTTCGTACCCACCGCCCAATTTTCTCCTTCGCTTCTTGATACAGCCTCCTGTCTCGGATCTCCGGCGCCTGCCCCTCCTCCTCATGCATGTAGATGCATGCCCTGTTCGTCACGTGTCGTGCTAGGTCCATCTCGTACGCGCTCGTTACCCTGCTCCGCAGGTGTGCCTTTGCCGCCGCGTCCGCCATGGAATTGGGCGCGTTGCCCGCATGCCCCTCCGTGAAGATGAAAATCACGTACCCTCCGTGGCGCTGTATAATGTCGATTTGTGCTTGCACCGCCGCATTGAGTGCGCTCCTATTTGTCTCGCCGCGTGTCCGCCCCCGATACGCCCGTTCGATCTCCTTGAGCGCCGTCTCGCTGTCCGACATTACTAGGCATCGGTGAGGCTGGAGGGTCGTTTCTGTTTCGTCCGCCTTCGTGCGCAGGAAGCTGTAAATGGCGTACATCTCGGCGTCGACAATCTCCCACGATCCCGGCAGGGCGCCTCCCCATATTCCCCGTCCTATTCGCTCGTGAATCTGTGCCCTGGTCTCTTGTGTATCGTCATCTCCCTCTTTCGGCTGCACGCCCTCCCATCCCCCGAACGATGCTAGCCTTCCGTCTCGAGTCTCCTTCAGCGAGGCGTCCGTCGCTGCCGCCGCTGTGAAGTGGTGCCACTTGTGCAGGCGGCACGCCAGGTCCCTCGCCCTCCACGTCGTGCTCGTTCCCCGCTCTCGCATGATCCGACACTCGCTTTCGTCCATCACGATCTCGTTCTCGCCCTCTCGGTCGTGTAGTCGCTCCTGCGGCGCGCTCCGGATTGCGCCCTCCGCCTCGTCGCTCCTCAGATACAGTCGTAGGACGGGGTCGCGAGCAATGTCGTTCCTCCCGATCTCTTCGTATCCCGCCCTTCCTCCTCCCTTTGTCCACATCTCCTGTACCGCCCCTCCGATCTCCTCCTCGATCGCGACGTTGTCGAGTACCGCTTGCGGCGCACCTCGCCTCCACTCCCCGCCACCCACTAGGTCGTCTATCTCTTGCCCATGTCCGAGCGTGTCCGGTTCGTCACTCCCCCACCATGCGTCCCCGCCGATCGTCGCCTCTCCATCGGCGGCTACTCTCCACTCGTCGCCTCCCCCGTCCAGGGCCATCGTCTTTTTCGTCTTTTCCTTCTGCTGTGCATCGCTATCTGCTGCGTCGCTCTCTGTGCTCGGCTCCTTGCCTAGGTATAATGTTCTGAAGGGTAGCGCCGAGCTATGTCTGTCGCGTCCGGTCTCGTTGCGCGTGCTCTCTTTGATGTTGTCTTGGCGTTGTCCTGCCTCGTCACTGTGGGAGGCAACCTCGACGTGTCGTTTTATTGTGGACCACATCCTGGTCAGCGTGTCGTCGTGGGATATGCTCCACGGTGTATATGTCTCAGAGTTTGTGTGTGTGTCGGTACGTGCGCTGTGACGTGGATTACCGTTTGGGCGCGTCTAGACGCGCCCCTCCGTGCTCCGATGACCGCGCCCCCATCCGCGCCGGTACAAAGTTAATGTGGGTCGTCGTTGGTGCGGATTAAACGTGTGTCTACCGTATTCTCGAGCGTGAGGGGCGCCGATCCAGCTGCAGAGCCAGGCCTAAACTGCTGGCAGCACTCAACGCGCGCGACGACCGTGAGACAGAGTCTCGGCCACTCGGGCCAGTCTCTATACCTCGTACCACGACGGGCGGCGCCCGGCGCGGGCCCCGCACCTCCTGAGATGTCCCCCCAACCACCTCTTCTCCTTCTGCCTGGGCGCCGCCACCGGGCCGCCGCAGCATGTACCTCATCCCCAAAGCGGTCGGGCTGTTGCCGCCCTACTTCTTCATGGCCATGGCAACCAGCCCCGCGCCGAGCAAAACCGACACGGCGCCAGCGCCCGCAACCGCCTTGTGCAAGCTCGAGATTTGGCTCTCGTAGATGTCCTTCATCTGCGCCTCGAGCATCTTCGACTCGTTGACGCGGTCGACGAGCGAGTCGCGCGATCCCCCCCGCACCGACTTCCGCGATGCCCCGTGGTGCTCAAACGCCCATTGAAGCTCGGACTTGCGGTCGCTGGTCCCGCTGTCCCGCTCCGGCCCGGGCGTGACGCCGTCCAGAATGAACATCTTGTTGGACTTCTCGAGCTTGCGGATGAAAGCGGTGTCCGCCTCCACCACCTTCGGGTCAGGGTGGCTCAGGATGCAGGACCCGGTCGAGGTGAGCAGGTCGATCGTCTTGACGATGTTGTCGCCGACGCCGACCGCCGCATCCATCGACGAGAAGCTCTTGAGCTTTTCGATCTTCTTGTAACCAGGGCAGCCCACGACCTTGCCCTCGACGTAGCTCACAAACTTCACCTCGAGCCCACCGGCGAGGAATGGGATCGGCGGGATCGAGGGGATCGCCGCCCACCTCTTCGGGTCGACGTAGGCGTCGATGGCGGCCGTCACCTGGTTGTAGCCTCCCGTGAGGCCCGAAGAGAGCGGCATCCAGGCGCCGTTGCCGCCGTGGCAGCGGCAGTTGACCTCGACGAGGCAGGGGCCGTCCTTGGTCATCATGATCTCAGAGTGCGTCGCCCCGTTTGTGATGTCGATCGCGTTGATGGCGCAGCGGGTGTACTGGATGATGGACTGCGCCTCGGGCGCGTCAAGGGGGATGGGCTTCATGCCAAAGTAGACGAACTGCGAGCCGTTGGCGAGGCGCTTGTCGTACTTCCAGAGCATGATGGTCTTGTGCTTGCCATCCTTGGAGACGTGGTCGCAGACGTACCTGAGCGGAGGCAGAGGGCGGGGATGGAGCGTGACGGGGCGGGGCCGGTGCCTGGCCCGCCGCACGAGGGTCGTGGCGGCGCACTCGTCTCCCCGCAGGAACTCCTGGACGAGGACCGCCGCGCCGACGGAGCCGATCGCGCGCTGCGAGTTCATAAGCAGGTGAAAGTGCGCCTTGGCGTCCTCCTTGCTCTTGCACAGCTTAACTCCCTCTGAGCCGGCAGACTCGACCGGCTTGACCACAACAGGAAAGGTCTGCGAGTCGACAAACGTCTCGACGGGCCCCTCCCACTCGGTGCTGGCGAGGCCCTTCACCGCGCGAATGCCCGAGTTGCGGAGACTGTCCTGCTGAATCTGCTTGTCCCGCCGGTTCTCCATCCCGTTGGCGATCGAGTTGCCCCGGAAATTGAGGTACACGCAGAGGGCGTCGCAAACCTTGACACCAGACTCGCCTCCGCAAATGATTGTGCTGAGCGTCTTGGTGCCACACGCCTTCTTGACCGCGGCCGCAATCGCCTCGGTCCCACCCTCCGGCTCGTACACCTCCGCCAAGTACCCGATCGACTTTCTCCACGCCTTGACCTCAGCTGGGACATGCTCCTCGTTGCCGCCGCACTCGTTCGTCCAGAGCGCCATGACTGCAAAGCCGCGCCGCGAGAGGACCACCGACAGCATGCCGCCGGTCGACCAGGGGTCCACGACCACCGCAACCTTGGACGCCGTCATGCACGATGTGAGTCGCCGGGGTTCAGAGGGGTACAATGCGGTTGGGCAAAAAAACAACTTGACCCGCCCATACGTGCTTCGTTCCGCTTCTTCCTCGGGCTGTTCCATCTCCTCGTCTCTTTCCCACCTAGGCGTGGCGATGGGGGGGCGGCGGGCGGGTGCGGGATCGGGGATGCGGTGCGGTGCGTGCAATCGTGTGTTTGGCGTCATGTTGTGAGAGAGAGATTTTTAGCAATACCAAACAACTCTAACACTCACACGTCATTTGGGGCCTGGAGCCCTGTTCACGCGCGCGCGAGACGTGCAGACAGGGTTGCCAGGTGAGAGCGAATGGCGCGGTTCACGCCTCGCACAACAGAGAGAGAGATGCGCTCTGCATGGTGGGACATAAAAGAGAGCGAGTACTTAGGCGAGTAGGCCGTGCGGTCAACGCTGCCGCGCGCGACTTTGCGCGCGAGGCGGCGCAGCTTGAGAACGGCGGTGGGCGAGAAGCCGCCGCCGAACGTCTCGTGGAGCAGCAGGTTGAAGTTGTTGCGCTTGACAAAGATCGCGTCGTGGTAGAAACCGCGATGCGCCTTGACGTAGCCGTGGCCGTTCTTGTGGTCGAAGGGTTGGCCGGGCTGCCCGCGCGCCTTTGTTTGTCATGTTGTGTGAGAGAGAGAGATTTTTAGCAATACCATTGGTTGTGTGTGCCTTCGCTTGTTCCTATTAACAACGAAGTCTAGCTCAAAAAATTCTTTTCTTACTTCCATGCTGCGTATTCTTGAATTATGTGCGCCTTCTTGTCGAGCAGTACAGGTACTCCGTGGGGGCAGTGTGTATTCTCGTAACATGTGCGTATTCTCGTATCACTGGCTCCGAGTAGAAAAAGAACTGGACAGGCCTGCTCTCGGAGAGGGGGGCTAGGGGGCCAAATCCACGGCCACAACCCCCTAGAGGCAATGAATGGAGCTGAGAGAAGGCGCTCGACTGCAAGGGTAGCAGAGCGCCACTCCTACGCCCACGCCCCCTCAAAGACGGCAGAAACAGTCACACGCAATTAGTACATGGCCCAGCTCGCGCCATCGGCCCATCGCCCACACTCGAGCTTTGCAGCGCGCGGGCTCACACTCTACTATAGGCCCCCTCGACGCCCACTTCGAGTTCTACTCAGCTAAGTAAGGGCCGCACTTGACGCTGTAAGCAGTGCGCGGCGAAGCAGTTTGGCGCTTGTGTAACAGGAACAGTTTTTTTTTAGACCGGGTAGACGGTAGACCGTTTGGTAGACGGTCTACCGCAGTCTACCGGTATTGGTGCTACAGTCTACCGGTAGACCCATAGGAAAGGGAATCCACACATTTCTTTTTGGAGCATGCAGGCTGGCAGGTGTACAGCTCAGACCTGCCTGCCTGCATACCTGCCATAGGAAAGGTAATGCACACATTTCTTTTTTGGAGCAACGGCGCCTTTGCGAGTGTTGTGGAGCGAGGCGCGTGTGCGTAAAATTTTTTTAATTTTTTTTGGGGTAGGGTACGGCGAATTCTTTTTGACGTTTGCCGTGATTGGGAACGCCGATAATGGTTCCCCTCTCCCTCCTCCCCCTCCTCCTCCCAGCGGCGGCGGTGCGGGGCGAGCCCGAGCTCCTCGCGGGGCTCGTCCCCGCGGACGTGGCCCTCTCCGCCCCCGGCCTGAGCGTCGGCGCAGTGGCGGCTCTCTCCACCACGCCCCGCGCCCGGCGCTCGCTCACGGGGATAGCGCGAGAGCTTTGCGACACTACACGGGTGGCCGCGCCCACACTTGATGGCTGCCCAACCCGCTATCGTGGCACGGGTCTCACTTATGTTTTGACTCCGACCACCACTGGAACGTGCAACGTGTATGCGGCGCCGGCGGCGGCTGTTTACGCTTGGCATCAAGACACAGTGGTCGTGGCAAATGCGCCCACAGAGACCCTGACGGTGTCCGCAGAAGCGGGTTCTTTCGAGAATGTCGTCATCACCGCTGAGCTCGCAGCGGACAAACTCACGCACGTAATGGCCCAATACGGTCGGTCCATCATTGTAACGAATGATGGGGCGACCCGCTTCACGGGCGGGACGAGCTCCACGTTCAACATCGACGCTGACGGCAGATTCGACCTCGGAACCAACACGATCGAGGGCGCCCAGGAGCAGACCGCCATCTACGTCGAGGAGGTCTGCGTCAATACGCTCAACATCA